CTTCCTTCCTTCCTTCCTTCCTTCCTTCCTTCCTTCCTTCCTTCCTTCCTTCCTTCCTTCCTTCCTTCCTTCCTTCCTTCCTTCCTTCCCCCAGCTTCTTTTATTCCTAGCTATTCTCCTGATCTCTGGAGTTTTTGCTCTTCTCATCCATATGTCTGTCCTATCACCCCTACCCCATCCCCATTTCTGGCTTCTGTTTCCCTAATTTTCTACTTTCTGTCYCCTCAGTAGCCTCTAAAACCACCTCTTGCCTGATTTCTGTGTCACATATTTGCACCCCATTGCTGGCTCTGCCCCAGCAGCATGCACAAAGGAGGTGGTCCCTTCTTCCCTCAGTCTCACAGCAGAGGGAAGGTACATTTTCCTTTCCTCCCCACAGGCAGAGTAAAAAAGCTCACTGGGACCTTCTGCCCCTCTTCACTGGGGCAGATGCCTACTGGAATTGCTCCCAGCTTCTCTTGCACGCTGGTGAGCAACTTGTTCACATTTCCTCTATCCCAGAGTGTGGGACTATGGAGCTGGGGGAACCAGCTTTGCTGAAATGTTTCTTCATTTCCCCATCTGCCCCTTGTGTGGCATTCAAAGAGGAATGCAGAAGACTGTCTTGGGAAGGTTTTGGTGGAGCAGGCATTGAGCTGAGCTGAAGGGTTGGCAGCTCTTGCTTCCAATGGGAGATGGAGGTGTCTGAGCCAGGCTGCAATACAGCAAGTGACCCATACGGGGGACATTTCCCACGTCCCAAGACCTCATCCACCAAATGTGGCCCAGCTGTGCCCCCTGCAAGGTCAGTGTGGGGAGCAGGCACACAAGTTGGCTGTGGGGTGTCCCTGCTTTGCTYAGCAGGATCAGACACCTCAAACACCCAATTAGTGGGCACAGAGCTAGTGTTCATCCTTAGACACTACTGCAGCACCGGGCCAGTGTCTGTGGATTTTGCCTTAATCAACACAAGTCTATGGGGGTTGCCCTTGGTAAAGAATACTTGAGCAAAATTATTATTTTAGTGACAAGTTTTCATTATTTTCWTTTCAAGTTTTTGAAACCCTAAACTCAGGACTGTTTCTGGTTATACTTCAGACCACAAAACTTACAAGTCAAATGTTGTGCTCCTCAGTGTAGCTTCCTTTAGCTAGACTTTTATTTCTTTGGGGCCTTTTGTTAATTCTCTATAATGTTTTTCGCTAAGGCATTGCAATGCCTGCACTGGATGCAATTAGAATTGACATGCACATGTGGAGAYGGTCAGAGCTTTGGGGTGGCTTTCTTGGTGGATTTCAGGCAGGTTATGCAGGTTTCATCATTTAGGACATTGGTTGTGTGCAGATGCCTTCAGGCTTTGGGGAGCAGAGAGCTTCAGGACTGCTTATCTTTTAAAAGTCAAGCGGATAGGCCCAAGGGTACAGCTGAGGCCTTGGAAGGTTACAAAGAATCATGGAATCACAGGCTGGTTTGRGTTGGAAGTGATCTTAAACATYATCCAGTTTTAGCTGCCTCAGCCWGGGGCAGGGACACCTTCCACTAGACCAGGTTGCTCAAACACGTCTGTTTGCAGTGTCACTTCCTATCACGCCCGCAACGGAGGGAAATGTTTGCACTGTCATAACATTTCTTCTGCTGGAGCTTCCTGGCTGGGGCTGCTGCAGCACTTTCTGCAGGGCACATCGCCTTGCATGGGGGCGTGCGAAATCTCATCTAACAAAAGCACAGCTAGGCAATGTTTTATATATTTTACATRTATAACAACACATATTGCAGCAAGGAACTCAGGGTCAGATCAGTCCATAGTTAACAARAACCCAACAAATGGTAAAACAAGTGAACATACCCAAGTCAAACTGTTCTCCACAGTGCATGATCAGACATCCAAGGCATAAGTTCAAGGGATCCAACATGCAGCATGTATTTTAAAATGTGTTGTGTGTTTTTTTTCTGTGCCACAACCCTGCTTCTTAGATTATCTTTGGGTGTTTCAGGTCAGGAGGCACCGTTGTAGCCACCTATTCTGCCATACCAGTAAGAGATTGGGTCATGAGAAGATAGAAATTAATTAATCTGGTGAAGGGAGAAACTAATTCAAAGGATTCAAATGGGATTGCTGAGGACTATGAGGGATGCTGCTTTGCATTTTATTTGAGCTGAGGGGTAGTTTCCCTTTCTTGTGTTGAGTGCTCAGCTTTGTGGGCAGCCAGGCAAATGTATGACATAGATTTCATGATGAAGTGTGGAAGTCTAGGGCGGCAAATTGAGAGTCCTGGGAAGAGACCAAGGCCAGAGGGGAAGACATTGGTAAGGAGAGAGGGCTACAGAACAGCATGGTATAAAACCCTGGGAAGGGCTTTAAGGAGAGGGCTAATATGAGTTGGAGGACAGCAGAGCTGCATTTCTAGACATCTAAAGGAAGGCAGGGAACTGTTGTTGTTGGGGGTATTACAGCCAAAGAGGCATTTGAGGCAAGGATTTCTACTAAGAGCAACAAGCAGCATTTGCAACACCAGGACAGTCCCTACAGGATACTAGAGAGCAGGACACTGCCAAGGTAACAGAAAGAGTGTGAGCATTCAGAGCCATGGTGTTGCTGAGTAAGCTGCAAGAGGAAATTTGTAGCAGCAGATTCCCAAAAGCTTGGAACAAGATACCACTTTTCTCAATGGGACAACCCAGGTGGGCTGCAAGCAAATTCTAATGTCACCCCACTGTATTACAGTGGCTCAACTGACGCTGACTTTATGTCTTGCAGTTGTCCTCCTTTTTGTGACCAAAGCTATTTAATTAACGACACAATTAAAGACACACTGACTGGTGCAGTTCCTCACTGAGAAATGGACTCAAGTATTAGAGATCTTTAGATGTAAGCTGTGAATTGAATCCCAAAGAATCCAGCCCTGGAAATCGTTCAAGGTGGGGTTGGCAGAATCACTGGGTGGCCCGACTGTTCCTCTCCAAGTCCCATGTGGGATTTTACATTGGTGCTCAAAAATCTCTGAAAAATGTCTGRCACTGGGTATTCTACAGCTCTGGGMAGTCTACTCYAATGCTCTAATAYAAAACTSTAGTAGCCCAGACATACCAAGAAATGAGACTATTCCTTTCCTGGTTTATATATTAGATAATCTCTATCATCTTCCTAGCCCTGACACTTTGGTACWGACTATCTTATAAACACAGTTTTTCAGGTTTAGACTGTTCAGCCTTTTATACTTGGTGCCATTTCTGGACCATTGCCACTGCTTTCCTTTGCACTTTCTTCAATCAGCTCAGTCTCCCTGAACTATAGCAGCCAAAACTCCACAGATGACTCCAAACAAAGCCTTGACAACATAGGCAACAGGGGAAGAATGGTTTCCTGTTTGTCACAGGCTGCACTTCTGTCTGCTCACCTCATTAGAACACTTTCATTTTTTACTGCAGCATGACCACGCTCATTCATGTTGAGCTGACATCCCTAGATCTTCTGCAGAACAGATGCTGTGCTGGTTGTTCCCCAGTTKGTCTTGCAGTCCTTGATGATGCTCYGTTTGTCCATTCTGAATGGCACTCCTCTTCCAACCCCTCTACCTCATTTGTCAAGATTATTTTGCATTCTCCTCCTGTTCTCCAGCGTGCTTGTTCTTCAGAGTGTCCTGCTAATTTAATAAATGTTCCCTGCTCTTGGTTTTTTTTGGTTGGTTTTTTTTTTTAAGATATTAATGAAAATACTGTGTGCTGCCAGACATAAAACAGATGGCTTCAGACTTCATTTGATATGTACTGCCAGTTTGACAGGGAAACATTTATAACTGCTCTTAGTCTGRTTTTCCAACCAGCTGTACGCTCCTCTAATAGCAGGTTCTTCAAAGCTGCGTTTCTTTGCTTGGTTTATGAAAGTGTCAGGTGAGACAAAGGMAAAAGCTGCACTAAAATCAAGATCTAAGACCTACTGTAGAAGGCATTTAGATTGATTTGTTCTTGTCAAATCAGTGCTCACTGTTCTTCATCTGTTTGTTGTCTTCTAAGTGCTGGAAAAACAGTTTATCCAATTACCACTTCCAGTAATTTTCCAGGAATTGAAAGTAATCTCCCTGGTCTCTGATTCCTGATTCCTCCTGTCTGTCCCTCCCTTTTGTGGCAGGTACTAGATTTGCCTTTCCCAGTGTGCAAAAACACATGGCCCCATCCCTGACTTCTGTGCCAGAGGTGCCCAGTGGGCCTCAGCAGCTTTACCCATCATGGCAGAAGACTTTTGGGCCTTGTCAGCTGGAATATATCTGACTTATTTAGACACTGTCTGACCTCTTTGTTTTTTCTTGCAGATGGTATTCTCATCCTTGGACTGCTTATGCTCGTTGTGTTAAATGGGGCACTTCTGAGCAAAAACTGGAAGAAAAGATATCAAACACTTTTGCACATTTGACATCAGCAGCTCAGTATCTGCTTCTCCTTGTGAAACTCAGCTCTTTCTTTGGCTCTCCTGTTGCTATTAGTGCATACACTTCATACCCACCGTTCGTTGCATCACTTACATCTTCATGTTGTTCCTCCATGCTTGTGCCGTTCTTTCATACTCACTAAYGTGACCTAGTTCCACTTTCTGTGTGCTTCCTCTGCATCTCTGAAACCAATGAAGAGCTCATGATTTAGCCAGTTAGTACCTTACTAGTTTCCCCCTGTATTTGCACTAAGTTGCCCCAGTACCAAGAGGCTCACAGTAGTTATGTGTCTTTCAAACAACTTCCTTAGGGCACTGCCACCTCCCCAAATGTCCTTTCTGCCTTGGATTTGTTCCTCTGGGCTTGTGTGTACTAACACTGTGAATTAGCTAAAATCTGTCTCAAAGACCACCGTTTGGTCTTTGCAGTTTTTCTTTTTTCTCTGCCTCCTTTTCTAGAAATCACTACTTCTAATACTTCAAGATCACTCTCACACCAGTTGCTTGTCACCATCACCTGCAAAATCAGTTCCCCTCTTTTAATTAGAATAAWTTTTTTCAGAGCAGCTGGCCAGGAAGAAGCTAGAGAGATGGCAGCTGCAGTCAGTTCAGGGAAGGGCACAGAGTACCAGAATAGACCCAGATAGAGAAGGCCCTGCATATTTGGCACTTAGAATTATTTGCCTATGAACTTGTTTCCAGGAGGTRTGGCTAATAGTGGTGGAAATATTTGCTATTTGTGTAAAAACATAAACAGTTAAAGTGTGCTATTAAAATACTTTCTCTGTTCTGTTTGTCTGTCTTAGGGCTTTTTATAGTCTTTGTACAATMAGAAAGCTTAGGCCATATTAGCATTGGTAGTCTTCTTTATTCAGTTATGCATTGACATTAAAATGTGTTTTTAAAAGCAGAGATTCAGCCCAAGTGGTGTTGTTTTGTCTTCCTTGCATCCATCAATGAGCCAGACCCTCCAGCTTCTCCGTGCTCAACCAAGGCACCACCCCTGGCCTTCAGGATCAGATTACCCTTTCCAGCCAGCTGTCTCCAGTGCCAGTGTGCACTGCTCCTTGTTAATACCTCACTCTGGCTACAAGTGCTACAAGAGCTTTCTTATGCAAAGCTCCAAGCCAAACCCCACCTTTTTGGAGCTGCTTGTCTTCTCTTCTCTGCTGCCATCCCACCCAAGCTGATCCTCTTCCATCCTGGGGCTGTCCCTGGGGGTCTGCCCCTGCTCTGTTTTGTTCTGGGGAAGCTCCCCTGAGCAGGGTGAAGGCACGCTGGCTTTTGGTTGTTACCTGTGGCTCTGACATGTTCCTCCTGACATTCCTTTAGGTACTGAGAGATTCTCCAGCAGGGTGTTGGGTAACTCTGCTGCGAGTTAGCTCAAAAACATTATAGATTTCATTACTTTGCTGTACTTTTGCTTCACTACATCAAGTCTTGGCATTTGGGGTGAAGCAGCAGCTAGTTAGTTTAGTAAAAATGGTGTTTCTTTATGGGGCATCCAGAACTAAAGAGAGCTCCCAAAGCTYTTCTGGATATTTGCCCAGAAGCTGGGATGGCTGCTAAGGAGCTGTTGACTCTAGTGCCCCAAACAACCATACGAGCACAACTTTATAACTGATTCCTSTTGATATAATTGTATAAACAGAAAACAACTCTTCCACTATCGTAGAAGAGCTGTGATGACACATCAATAATGGGTATCCTTGCAAGCAGTCTGATTTCTGTTCTTTATCTAGCAATTGTTGATCTGACGTGGCTGCTCTTTGAGTCATAGGGAGCTCCTTGGGAAAGTGCAGAGACCTTCAGACCTCAGGGACAATAAACTGATCACAAGTGGTTGACTGGGTGAACCACAGTGCTAACACTGCATGTTCACCTAGTCAGATGGATCTCAAAAAGACAATTTCTCATTAAAAAGAAAAAAAAGCTGAAATTAACAAAATGCTGTCACAGTGTTTCCTTCTTTTATGGTTTAGTTCAGAATTAGTTCTCATCAGCTGGAGAACACTCCTGGTCATGCTTTTGGTCTTTGGAACAGACCTTACAATGCTTAGAAACAGCTGTGAAAAATAGGTGGGGAAATTTGAAAGGTTTCCCCTTAAAGACATGGATGGGTAATGTATTTATTTTCTAAATACATACCTAGAGGCTTAGACAACTGGTGTATTTGCATCAGCATACTCTGATTAAAAGAAATCACASTACTGGAAGCAGAGAAAACCCCTGAACCTATAGCTCATGTTCCCTGCAGTAAAATCAAAAGTTGGAATGCTAGCTCATCGTTTCCTAAAACAAAGCATCTATTAAAAGTAACTCACCTGAGGGAAAAGAACTTTGTAACAGCCAATCTTTCCACTGCTCCTCTGAGAACACCCAGTGGCCCAGACCCCTGCACCTACCCCGCACTGCTCTGATCTCCTGCTTTGCCAGGAGAGGACTGAAARCCACACACCAGAGTCCCAGGACTCATCCTGCTATTAACATGTTTGCAAAAGTAGCTGGAAGGACAATTTAGCCTTGCTCTTCCCTACTGTTTTTTTCGTTCCAATAATTCAGTTCATGTCCATCCTGAAGAATTAGTTCACCAAAGAGCTTGCCTTGTTGGAAACTGAAGAATGCTGGAGAGAAAACAAGTCCTAGTTAATAAATATAAAAACAAACAGCTCAGTAATGTGTGATGCAAGTTCCAAGTTTACATTTAAAACCATTCAAAACTAAGCCAGGAAGGTAAACCCTGACTTTGGTAAAACTGTCTAGAGTGAAAAGCCAGCATGGAAAAAAACTAACTGAAAACACATTTGAAAATGCTTTCATGAAAATAAGAATCATAAGAAATGAGCTGGAATATAAACCAAATTTTGCAATAGTACTTTACAAATTGTCCTGATTTTGGAAGGATGCAGAGTGCATGCTAAGATCAGTTGCCTGCCCAGACTATTTTATAATAAATGGCATTGCGTTTTTCATCCCCAGCACAATCTCCAGCCATACAGTACCTTTATTTATTAGGAGACTGTTCAGCTGCAATGACAGTTGAAGTGAGAAAGGAAATGGTTTCAAGAACATGGGAAGAATCCCATAAAGTTCAGAGAGTGAAATGGGGAAAGGTACTTTAAAGTACAGGTGGTGATGTAAATTATTAAACATTTGAAAAGTTTACCCATGGTAATTTTAATCACATCGTGAAATCACTCACTCATGCTTTTGTGAGACACTTGATTTATTGGAAGTTTTACGGCATCAGCTGCAGCTCAGGAGCCAGCCCTGCTCCGGGCCGTGGGCAGGGCATGCCGGATGGAGCAGCACACGGGGCTGGCTCAGAGCCAACTCTGCCAGACACGCACCACCATAAAAATAGCAGTAATCATCCACAATGGATGCCCAGAAGCGTTGAAGCTGACCCATGAATCTTACGTGAATACCAGAGAGCATCCTCAAAGCCACCAGGGTGGATGTGCTCACCCACAGAGTCGTGCTGGGCTGAAGGCTAAGGTTGGTGGTTGGGTTTTCTTTGCTTTGTGCAAGGAATGAGCTGAACATGTCTCAGTGCAGCATCTCTGACTCTTTCCAGAAATGCCTGCAGGGGTCTAGCCACCTCCTGGGTATGCTGCTCCAGGGCCAGGGCCATGGGGATGCTCCCTCAGCCTTCAAGGACACCTGGACCAYGGTGAGATGGCCTGGGAATGAAGATTTTGAAGTATTCTGTGGAAATGGTGTTGACAGAGAGTTGGAAATGAATCTCAGGGTGCTTTATGCAAGATGAGTATTGTCAGACACATAGCTGCTTCACAGATTTGGTCACATTTCCCTCCCCACTGATTCCACCTCTTGTTGTTCTTCAAGCACTGACTTATTTTGCCACTGTATTTGGAAATTTCTCTTGTCCATGTTATCTTAGTATAACTAAATTATTTTCCTTGATGTAATTTCTTACCAAAAAAAACCACTTGTTGACTCAAGTCTTACATCATTAGCAAATTCTATCAAGAATCACCCATAGTATATCACAATGAACCAGCGGTGATCTCAGCAAAAAAGGGTTAGGATAAGCAGGTGATAATTCAGTGTGATTAATGCATGAATGTATCTATGCCTGTCAAATGACTGCACCTCATTTATGATAGGCAAGATTTGGGTGACCTGACGACAAAATTTTCCTCACCTATTTCTTTTCTTTCTATTCTTCTTTTTCCATTTAATTGACTTAGTTGGACTTGCAGAAACTGTGGGCCAGATCTTTTGCTGGGAGTTTTGTCTTTGTCATTAATGAGATAGGTTCTGATCTTTAATGTTCAGTGTTTGAACCACTCAGGCTGCCTGAATCCTATTTCAGCTGTTAACACAGGTATGTAGCAGGCATAAGTGCAGTTCTCTTGTTGGGGCTRCTTTTTGTCTTTTTGCTGTAACAGAGTTAGCAGATCCATAGGTTGAAGGATTTCCCCTTTACTCTGTCATCACCCTCTGTACAAGGAAATCCTTCTCTTCCATTGAACTTCCTGGTGAGGTCCATGCTCTCGTTTCTGTTCCCCGAGGGGTGACCATAAGGTGATRAAAATGGCAGCATGACTGAGCACCATTCTCTCTCAAACTGCCTCCTGCCCACACACCAAATTCCCCTTGTTGGCATTTAGTGTAATTACCATAATACAAATATCGTCCCGAATGTTATTAAAAATGCAAATTATGTCCATGGAGCCTAAGGAATGGCAAATAAGCAGTTCCTTTGCAGCCCACTTCCTCCTGGCCCCAGCAAGCCTTGTGCAGATGATGCTTTGCTGCAACACATTTGTGAGCTCTCAAAGTTGCATCTATTTTTTTCTCAGTCAAAGCAACGTAGCTGCAGACTTAGAACATAACAGCCATTTAGAAACTGTATGACTTTCCCTAACTGTCTGTAACAGTTTCAAGATAAGTCATTTAAAAAAGAATTACTTTAAACGGAGACTGCTTTAAACCAGACTTTTGTACTTCTTGTTTTTGCTTTTATCTTGGCACAGATGCTTACCCTCTCTCCTTTGTAGAGTTCATTATGCAAAGGCAAAGAAGCTACACTAACATTGTAATTTTGTTTGGCAAGGTGAGCCACAAAACATATGCTGTGTCATGCCTTTTTATTACAGTACAAGAATTGCCAAAGCAGCCTAAAGGAGGAATCAAGGACATGATCGCTGTGAGGAAAAGAGGAAACGGTCCAGTTTTACAACACTTGGGCTTGTAACCACTTGCRGTAGATAGTTTCAGAACTGGTTTAATTTTGAATTCTTTTCTAACCAACAGACAACAGCTTTGAAGTGACTGGTGTTTAACACCACTGCTTTCTGATCCACACTGAGTCATTTTGCAGYGCCTGGAGATGYAAGCCCTACCTGTGAAGTGAGCACCATGTAGGCTGGGACTGCCCTGTCCTCTCCTTGCASCAGGAGATGGCAGATCTAAAGCTGGCCCAGGCCAAAGGAGAAGGAAATGCTGCTCCTTGAGCAGGCATTGACATCCCTTTTCCACAATGGGATGACGGCATGTCGCACCTTATTCTGATCATGCTCCGAGACCAAAGCCTGCACTTCTCAGTCTAGACAACCTGTAATCAGGCAAGGGAAGAGCAGGCAAAGGGAACAATTAATGGGTGTGATCTCAGCCTCTCACAGCCTGCCTGAAAAACCCAAGGACTGGTTTTATGAGTGGGCATCTAGACTAGTACCCCCATACCCACATCTCCTCTGGGGGCCACCCAYGCCATGAGTGCCTCACTCCTGCTCCCTTCCAATGCTGTGCTTTGACTTGAAGGGGATCAAGGCTAGAAAATAACYCAGAAGGTAAATTATTTTTAAGTTGGTCCCAGATGTAAGTGTCCACGCAGCCCCAGGGCTGGGAATGAGCAGGAGGTCTGAGAGGRAAGAAGGAAGGCAGTTTTCACTTTAACAGAATGTCCTCATTGCAACATCTCCCAAGTACTTGGGTTGCAATTCCTCTGAACCCATCTGAAACTTTGGAAATAGCCTGAAAGAAGTGGCTATGAAGGAAGAAGGCCTGGTGTCACCAAGCGGAGCAAACCAGGAGCAACCACAGCTGCCTACCCATCCCCCRGCTGCTGCCTGTACTCCACCGAGGGTAGGTAGGGGTGCCAGGAAGGGAGTGGCAACAGCAAAGAGCACAACTCCTTTCACCACTTGTTCCCAGATTTTGTGAACCTTCAGAGGGCAGAGAGAGGAGAAGAGGAAGGGACATCCATGTTACAGTGTACAAAAGAGGTAATGAAAGCGTGGCGGTGCCGGTCACTCGCCGCGTGCCGTGGAAACGCGGGCCAGCCTCACCCTTTTTGCTGAAGCTGGAGTGTTTGTTGTGTTGAGGGGAGTGGGAGCCACCCCARCAGCCCGATCCCCCTGCCTCCAGCTGCTGCAGGCTGGCACAGGACAGGGGGATTGCTRGAGGGAGATGTGATGGGGGACATCTCTGCGGGCCATTGCTGATCTTTCAACACAGGCTGAGTCAGGCACAGTGGGATATTTCTGTGAGGTGGGAAAACACCCAAAAAGGAGAAGTGGTGATGTTTGCCTCCCCAGCCAGTTTGCTCACCATTAGTGTTTTCCTACTTCCCTGTTCTAAGCAAACACACTTTCCATATGTCAGACTTCAAAGAAGCAATAACCAGCTTGGGGCAATCACCAAGGGAAAAGGACAAGGCAAGAATGCCTCGAGAAATGYCCCAGCACCAGGCTTGCTCCCACCCTGCCAATGGTCAGCTCTCCTTGGAGGCACAGGCTGGAAGTCAGGCTGGTTCAAAGCAATGATGCCTGTGAAATGCAGATATGCARGGAGCGATGGATGTGTTTGCACGTCGGAACTCAGAGAAGGAGAGCACAGCAACACCAGTGTGCCGGGAATAAAAGACAAGTTTCCTCAGAGACACAAATGAAGCTTYGCTGTCCCACTTAGAGCTGCTCTCAACACCACATATGGCAGGTGTCTGAAGCAAGGCAGTGACAATAAACATGTCCCTTCAAAGGACAAGACACAGAAGAAACTTTCCAGCTATCASCTTTTTGTAACTCAGACAAAATGCAGGAGAGGCTTCTTTGAYTGGCCTGCCCTTTTCCTCCCAGGGGAGCACACGGAGGAGACACCGGCCCGTGGGACAGGAGATGTACTGCGTGGAGCAGCCACCCATTCTCAGCACATTTGCTCTGACAGCCGCCCTGGTCTCGGAGGATTTTGGAAAAAAAGTGACCACTGCGGAAATCTGTTACTTAAATTTAATATCCTGTTGTCTGTGAGGATGCAGTCCTTTTGGGAAATTCAGTCCTGGCAGTTAAAAATAAAGCAGCCGTGTGGAAACAGTGAGACAAACAGCTCTGCCCCTGTGCACCCAAGCAGGCACTCCTGGAATCCTCAAAGTCCACTTGTACTCAGTCCAGATGGAGTACAGAAGTGCTGTTCTGGAAGCTACTGGGAAATGCACCCCAGCAGAACAGTATCACCCACAGCATTTACCTGCGGTTGAT